TTGAGGGCGTATTTGAGTACGCCCTTTACACGAACTTGGGCTTCCACTTTGTAAATGTTTTATATGGATATCTAAGTGACGAATTTCTATTGGCTGCGTGTTGTCACGTTCACCAAAACGTTCAGACTAATTTAATTATTAATCATTAATTGTCTGCAGTCGTGTGCTATGAATTTTTAGAGCTATGCTAATTGTGAAATGAAAGAAAAACAATTCGCAACGCTGAAGAAACGTGCACACTTCATGCTTTTCAAGTTGTGGTATCGTGACAAGATCCATAAATTTGTGTATATATACATACACTTATATGTATATCTGTCTGCACTATCAGCATGTGTAAATATTGAAGAGCTCTCACGATCGTACGTTCAACTGTGGTCCCTGAACGACACAACCCCTCTCAATCACAGAAAACCAGTCTATTGTAACTTGGCTGCGGGCGCCACAAACTAGTTTTTGCTTTGATTGTTTCGCTTTTGTTTTTTTTTAAACTCTCTTCTGCCTTATGGAGGAGAGAAACAATCACTGAAATATGAACAATCGTTGAGAGCAGCTGTTGCTTATATTTTATTTTAAATTGGTCTAAAATCGCAAAACATGTATTTAGTCTCTGCAACGAATAAACCATTAAGTTGCAATAGAAAAAAGGAAAACAAAACAGTGCTAAGCACTTTAGCAGTATTTAACAGCAGATGCAAATAATTATATATAGCTGGCTATAAACATTAAGTACAATCGTTAAATTCTGATACACTTATAAATGGGTTAAACAGTTGTTCAATTAAAATGGTTGCTTCTGCTACCCTCTCAGTTTAGATACAGCCTACAGCAATATATATATACAATAATTACTCACAATTTTTGGCAATTATTTGCCATAATTTATTATAAACGCAGGCTCGGTTTTAATTGACGCCAGAGCAAAGGAGAGAGAGAGAGAAAAAAACATGAAGACAGACATGGACAGTTATCTTTATATCAGACCGTATGTATGTTTGTATATATATATGTATACAATTTGTACCGCCTGCTGATCCAACGCTTAAATTTATTTCAATTTTATTTGAACAGCCAAACGGTTTTTGTTTACAGAAGCGACGCGCCTTTAATAAACGATGTGCGCATATACATATGTACTATAACATATGTATATGTATATATATTTGAATATGAACATCTATACACACATATACACGCACATGTGTGTATTTAACGTTAATTAATTGTTTTTTAGCAATTGTGAAACATGCTTTTTCATAGGCTTTTTTGCTCGCATATGTATATACATACATATGTTCTTTTGCACTGCTTGCTATGACGTATACGCAACGTGCTCTTCGGTGAGCACTGCTTGAGAACGTCAATCGCTGTTAAAGTTAATGCCGTTAGCAGTGCTGATCAGAAATGAGCATGTGTTAACAGAATGATAACAGTGTGACAAATGCCCAAAGCAATAGTTACAAACTGAGCCGTGGAAGTTTTTTAAAGTTAAAAAATAGTTTTAAGAGAATAAAAATTATTAAAAATAAATATATTAAATAAATTTATAAATATATATGTTTTGAAAATAAAAATTTTTAACTATATAATAAAATGTATAAAATATATTTAATATATCAAACTACAATTACAAATTTAAGTAATGTTAGAGCTGTAGACTTATACAATTTCTGAAACTTTAGCAGAAAATATATCAATTCAATAATTGAGACTATAATTAAGATTTAAAGTAAATAATAAAAACCGAAAATACTTACACATAGGTACCTAGTTAAAATTCAAATTACAATTCACATTTGCCTTAATGAATGTGCATGAGTAAGCACTGTTTACATAATATATTTATATTTATATATATACGTATACGTAAAGGTGCGCATCACCAGCGCGAGTTGCAGCGCAGTTAACAGAGCGCTTGCTGCTGCGCTACGCACAGCTGGGCATGAGAGATACTCGTTCGTTAACAGTCTGGATCGCAATAGGTTCTCTCGCTCTCGCTCTCGTGTCTTTTGATTTAGTATAGTCAGAGTCGGCGTCGCGCTATGATCGGCTCCGGTGCGTTGGCACGCGTTATCTAACTACGGCACAAACACAAACCGAATCGACAAGCAAACAAACTCATAAATAGTATACACGGTGCCGACAGTATCTATAGAAAATACATATACATATATGTACATATAAAATATCAGAAATAATAAAAACAAAAATTCACTGTGTCTGTGTGTGTGTGTGTGTGGGTGTGTGTGCGTGCGCGCTATTTTCGACACTTGGGCTTCTTGTAATGTGAAAAGCCAGCTAAATAATAGACGCAACAGTCTAGTTAAAATGTCAGGGACGCTGCAAGCGTCTCTATATATCTATATATTGAGTACTACGAGTCTTATTATGAGTTAAGCAGCAATTGACACATGGTGAAAAATGCATTACACGGTGGGTGTTACGAACTAAATATTACCTTTCTCTCTCTCTCTCTCTCTCTCTCTCTCTCTCTCTCTCGTCTCTTTCTGTCTGTTTTTCTCTATAGTTGTTCGCCACTCTGGTCTTATAATCATATTCGCCCTTTGGCCTCGCATTGGGGTCTATTTAACGAGCAATATATGTAAATATTTCCGGTCCAATAAGCAGTTTAACCATAGGCCAGTGGCGGCCCTTTATTATAGGGTATACAGTTGCAAAAAGAAAAAAGCCTTTTGCAATTGAAACAGTTGCTGTGCTTTGTCTTTCGCTCGTTTCGTTTATCTTATCGCTAGTCGGCTATACTAAAGTTGTTCTAGAAAGCAAAAGCAAACGCAAATATAAAAAAACAAAATTTCTGGCCATTTTTAGAGGGTTTCACCGTGCTTAAAAGTGTTGCCAAATATCGAAATAAAAATGGAAATATATAAAGGAAATTCTGTGTAAATTTTCTGATTGTGGCCATGCATTGGGCGAGATCTCGACCTATACAAATGATTTTTATTTTATGGAATATTTTTTATTGAAAAAAATTGTGTTACATTTATATAGTACAAAAAAAAAATTGTGTAAAACATTTGGATATTTCCTCTGTGGTTGCAACTTTGAATTGGGCAAGATTATACTGTACATAAATCTTTTTTATATATATGTCAGATTTGATTGAAATAATTAGGGTTACATTCATGCTCATACAAAAAAATAAAGTTAAACAAAGAAAGTATAGTAAAATATATTTGTTGATTTGAAATCACATGACATTGATTTATGAAGGGCTGAGAAAAAGTGCAGTCTTATCTAAGAGCAAATGATTTGTTTAATCTCAAATATATCTATCTAATCTTTTATATTTCCCCTTATAAATATTTATTTACATTTATATATACATATATTATATAGAAATGAAAAGAATGGACTTCTATCATAAGCATACGCCTCTCCAAATTCTGCAAGTAGCCTTTTTCAGTACCTCGGGTGCTTTAACCATTTCCCCTACGGCCAAAAGAGGAAATTGTCGGCCATTAAACGTGCATTAACATTAGGTAAGACCTGTGACTGGACGACACACGTACTTATTCTTATCAGTGAAAAGCAATAGAAAGAGGCGGTGCGCAAGGAAACGCTCTAGCGTATCGCAAAAGCAATAACAATATAAACAATAATAATAATTACAATTATACTTAATTGAAATAAGGCGCGTGACATGCTTAACTCATCTGCGGCTCAAGCTTAGCCCTTTTTGCTGATGCTTGCGAATCGGACACGTCTCATGCATTTCAATTGGCCAATATTGAGTGTGTGTATATATGGGTGTGTGTGTGTGTGTGTGTTTGTGTGGAAGAACGTACTGAATTGATTGGTCAGTTGATTGTTTGTTGTTCTTTTGTTTGTCGCCCGCTGTCAATTCCAGTTGTGGCTGTCAACGACGACATTTATATCGATCCACATACATATACATATATATGTGTGTATATATGCACCCTCCATTCAGTTTGTTTGCACATATTTTGATGGATGGGCCTGGGGCAATCGTTGCAATGCTAATACTGCTAAGCCACAAGTAAGACACTCGCCGTCTGG